GAGAGTTCAAACTGCAACACTGCAACACTCTTGCGTTAAATTTGATATTGTAAATTAATCTTTCTCATTTTAAGTCTATTAATGCTAAATATCTCCCCTACTGTTTTTGCTAGTAATGCAAGAAATGAGACTGCTGTCCTACAAAACATAATCACTCTCTCACTATTGAAACAAGGGCTCATGAAGAAAAGATCATGTTTCTGCAAGCATATCATGAAGCAATCAGGACAAATAAATTAAAAGTCACAAAATCTAATATAAAGAAACAACGTTATGATTCAGGCTGGAGAGAAGAGCCAGAACAGGAATTAATTCTCTTGTGCAGGTTTTAGATTTTAGATTTACATTAATTTTACTAAAAGTAGTGCCGAAGATAATGTACCAAACTCAGTCTGTCAATGACGAGCTCACTGTTATTGTTATATGTTATTTTAATCACACTGCCCTGTGTCAGATATTAGTGCTTCACCAGAAAAAAAAAATAGTTCAGCTTTAGGAAATCCACTTAAACTTTATAAAAAGTACTTTCTCACCTCTCATTACATTCCTGTCACTGTTCTGTTCCTTCTACGGTTTACGTCACAAAATGTTCTTGAGAAAGTAAGTCTCACTGAAGTCATCTTGTATGACTTGACAACAGAGCTCGAAAATCAGATGATGACCTAGGTTGTCTCACAAGAACCCCACAAATGCCTTTCTGCTGTGTAACATGTGGCACCCGTAGATTTATGAGTTAAAAATGACAGGTTGTGGGAAAATAATAGTGTATGCTTATCATAAGGAATACAGTTCCTAAGGGCTTGAATTGAGTATGAGGATCACGTAACCTTTGAACACACACTAACACACTCCACTTGTCTGATCAATACCCTGTGGGAAGAGTGACAGCCTTATTGGATTAGGACAGAAAAGTGGGTTAAGTGCCTTCTTGGATGCCACAGATATGTCAGATGTAAAGGTGCATTCTGTCATAGGGACAAAGGAGTAAAAAGCCTTGATTCTGTAAAAATTTAGAAGAGTTAAAAGTGATAAACTAGAGGTCTCAGACGTCAGTACAGAATAGGCCTATAAGTCTTCCACGACTGATCTGATCAGTGAATTTTGTATTAGAACATCAAATTCACACAAATTATTCATTCATATTCATAAGAAAATGTATTTTACATTTACACTGCAGGCTTGCAGTCTGATGACCATTGCTGTTTTGTTCTGGAGGTCTCTGTAAAAGCACTGGGTGACCTCAGCTGTCAGTAGGGCACGAGCCTGTGAACGCCCCACCTCACACACCCTAAATATCGAAATGCATGTGTCATTTGATCAGAAAGTAGAAAGTATGACAGATGCTCCTGCAGGGAGGCTTGTGGCATTTTGTTTTACATTTGCGTGGTCTGTCTTGCACACAAAAGTGTATATTCTTGAATCTTAAATATTTTTTTACTTTAACTCTTTTGGTGAATTGGCACATTTTTGAGTAGTTTTAATGAGAGGAAAAAATCATCAACTACATTCAAATAAAATATGCATGTTAATGCTTGAAATGCATGGACCATTAAGGATACACAGTGGGTATAGAAAAGAATCACCCCCATCAAAATAATCACATGTTGTTGCTTTGCAGCCTGAAATGAAGACAGGCACAGTGGGTTTTTTTTGTTTTTTTATCCAGCTGTATTTACTCAGTGCAACTTATAACATCCAAGTGAAAGCTATAACACCAACATGTCAGAAAAAAATAAACAAATAAAAAAACAGAATCACTGAGTTGGAAAAAGGATCACCACCTTGTGTTAGTATTTTGTTGAACCACCATTTGTTTTAATTACAGCCTTTAGTCTGTTGGGATATGTCTCTACTAACTTTGCGATATTTCTTTTTTGCAGGTGGTGGTGATCATTTGTGGACTGCAGTCAGGATATTACCAGCTCCATGCTTTACTGTATAATGCTGTTATTTGGATGGTGAGCTGTATTTTATTTCCGCCAGACATATCGTTTGGTGTTGAGGCCAAATAATTAAATTATAGTCTCATCTGCCTCAGAATCTTCAGGGTGCGTTTTGGCAAAGCTCAGTCGTGACTGCATGTGGCCTTTCTTGAGTGGCTTTTTTATGCACCCCTCCCATACAAGCCACATTTGTGGAGAATTTGTGATATTGTTGTCACATGCACACAATGACCACTCTTTGTCATAAATTCCTGCAACTGCTTCAGAGTTGCTGTAGGCCTCTTGCAGCCTCTCTGACCAGTTTCCTCCTGGCTCTTTCATCCAGTTTGGAGCGACGTCCTGATCCAGGGAGGGTCTGTGTTGTATTAAATACCTTTCACTTCTTAACAACAGACTTCACTGTGCTTCTAAGCATTGATAAAGCATTTGAAAAAAAATTTTTGTATCCATCTCCTGACTTGTGCCTGTCCACAACTTTTTCCAACTCAGTGATTCTGTTATTTGTTTTCTGACTTGTTGGTGTTATATCTTTCAGCCTTTCTTGAGTGGCTTTTTTATGCAACCCTCCCATACAAGCCACATTTGTGGAGAATTTGTGATATTGTTGTCACATGCACACAATGACCACTCTTTGTCATAAATTCCTGCAACTGCTTCAGAGTTGCTGTAGGCCTCTTGCAGCCTCTCTGACCAGTTTCCTCCTGGCTCTTTCATCCAGTTTGGAGCGACGTCCTGATCCAGGGAGGGTCTGTGTTGTATTAAATACCTTTCACTTCTTAACAACAGACTTCACTGTGCTTCTAAGCATTGATAAAGCATTTGAAAAAAAATTTTTGTATCCATCTCCTGACTTGTGCCTGTCCACAACTTTTTCCAACTCAGTGATTCTGTTATTTGTTTTCTGACTTGTTGGTGTTATATCTTTCACTTGGATGTTATAAGTTGCACTGAGTAAAAACAGCTGGATAAAACTGTGTCCGTCTTCATTTCACGCTCCAAAGCAACAAAATGTGATTATTTTAAAGGGGGTGATTCTTTTCTATACCCACTGTAAATGATATGAGCTGATGAAGTTCATGAAAAATCTCAACATTCTTCATTCTCTTCATTAGATGCAGCAGAAGGAATGTCCCGTCCTGCTGCGGGCAGTGGTGGACGAAGTACACAAATCAAGTACTTGAGTAAAAGTACAGATCCGTATAATAAAATATTACTCCAGTAAAAGTAAAAGTACTCAGTTTTCAATTTTACTCGAGTGACAGAACAAAAGTACTTGATTTTATAACCAATAAGGAAATAATGAATATAATAAGGAAAATATAATTAGATTTTCATAATGATTTTTTTCTTCTCAAACCTTGTCTGTGGTGTAAAAACACCCCTGGCCAAATGCCCCCAGAGGGCATCACTTCCCACTTTGATCATTACTGTAGTTACCATGTTCTGAACATCACATCGTTTCTTTTTCCCTCAGATGTAATCTATCTAGGTGGTTGAATTTTAAAAAATTACCTCAATTTAGCACCAGCAAGCTCGTTAACATCAGCTAACACAGACTTATTTTCAGTATGGTTATGAATAAACATTTATATTTGTCTACTCGGCTAGTTGATCCAGATACATAGTAACTTAGGCTATGTGTGCTGACAAACAATATAAAAACAGACGTCACATAGGGCTAAATGCATAGCATTTTAGTAAAACCGCTAACTTTACAGCAGTGGGGAAGATGAACGTGCATGAGTTATTTTATTTGTTTTATTTGTGTGTTATTTTAATGTTTTTTTACCAAAAAAACATAGAGACTCTGATGTTAATGTGTCTGCATTCAAGCATTTCAGTAGGCTTAAACAGATCACCCTTTACAGCAGATTTAGTTCACAAATAACTGACAGCTTTGACCTAAATATGACTTTCAGTTACAATAATTCATCCTAAAATTCGACATTAGTAACTTACTTTTAACAGCATCAGACACCGCTTCTGTGTCTCGGACCACGTGATATATTATAAGGCGTAACGATAAGTTTTATGAAATGTAGTAAAGTAAAAAGTATGATCTTATGCTTTGGAATGTAGTGAAGTAAAAGTAAAAGTTACTCAAAATAAAACTACTCCAGTAAAGTACAGATACTTGAAAAATGTACTTACAGTAACGAAGTAAAACTACTTCGTTACTGTCCACCACTGGCTGCGGGTCTCATTTTCTACGGCTAGTGTGAATAAACAGAAGTATGCATGTAGGAATGTCTGACACTTGACTGCAGCTTGTGAGTCACCCCATGTCAACATGATATGTGACACTGTTTTTCTGCTCAGAAAGCAGCTCTGAAGTTTATAGCCTAATGGTGTTTTGAGTGAAGAGACACTGCTGTACAACCTAAAGTCCAGTAAAAAGTTTTCAAATTAAACTAAATTAGATTTTAAAAACAGCTAGCCAGTGAAACCATCCTACTGTATACATTCTGCCCTACAAAGGTGAAATGCAATAACTACACCAAAACTGAAACTTGAAAAAAATGGCCACATTTTTTTTTTTTTTTTTAATAGGCCTATTGATTGATTTGATATCAATGTTTAGACAGCTTTTTTAATCCTAAGAAAATTTTGAGCCAAAACTAGACAGATCTCAGATTTTGATTTGAGTCAAAACTCAATTTTGACTAAATGTAGTTCCTATGTTTTATTATTATTATTATTATTACTATTATTATTATTAAATTATTTAAAAAATGTAATGTCTGTATTTGCTAAATAACCTTTGCGTTAGACAGTTACAAGGTAAATTAATTGAAGATACTTTTTCAGCATTTTATTATGGTGTGTTAAGAAAATTTCTTCCAAGAAAATGCTATTTCCTCAAGTTTGTTAACCTCCACAGATAACAAACACAGAGGCATACATTGACACAAGCTTACACGGGTGTGGGCTGCCGTCATTCACTTCAAACATTCACTGATGAGACTATAGAGACTGAACAACTGAACAGGCTCACTGGCATTTCATTGGCTCAAGGGAGGACTGTCAATCATTCCTACAGCACCTGTGAGCGCCTGAGCCATTAAATGAGCGCCGCTTGACGACTGCTCGTGAACTCAGAAACCCCTTCTGGATATCGGTTCGTCTTCAGGGGCCCGGTAAGTGTGTTTTCTGCCGTTTTACTTTTCTTAGCGAGGATACAACGATAACATAGTATGAATGTCAATTAACCGATCTCATAACCTGCTGAAGATTTGTCTCAAAAGTTTTGTAGAGTTCATTTGCACGTGAATCGATGGTCTCGGCTCATCTTCAAATGTCACTTTCACGGATCCTGTGGATTTCACCTATTATTTTAACAAGTCGTTAAAAAGAGTTGGTCATTAAAATATTCAGTGACATTTTAAAACTAAGTTAATTGCAACTCAGGCCCAATTTTCTATATTTTTACACACATGAACACACCTGCATGCTCACAAATACTTAACAAATAGTTATCTATATATTTATGACTTTTGGATACAACTTTAAACACTTTATAAAGTTTAAGATGTCCGATTGCTGCATTCAACTATAATAAGTGTACAATTCCTGGATGTTTGTCTAGTCAGGATATTGTTATGGGAGCAGATGCCACATGATGAGATTTATATCTTAACTGACTGGTGATCAGATTAGAGGAGATTAGAGAGAAACTTCCTCTAGGATAAAACTGACAGGGAAACTGACCATGTGCAGGAGACGCCTGCAAAGAATACAGTGTGTACACACTTGTATAATAGGCTATATCATATCCATAAGATGATATCTGCCAATCAGCGAAGTTTGCTTTGGATCTGTGCTAAAAATCTGTGCTGTTCCTATGCAATAAAACTGTCAGCTCTAATTTAATCTGTTTGTTGTAAGAATTAATTTTGTGCCTTTTTCACTCTAATTACACAGTAAAATGCAGTGCAATCTAATTTATTCCTCATTTAATCCTTTCACTATTGTTTTGCCGTGGTTTTTAAAAAAAATTTTACTCTGGCTCTTATGTCCTTTCATTTCAAAACAATTTTTATGTCAGGGAGAATAGAGACCCAATGGTTTGGTGTGCCACCGTGTTGGATTTATTAGGCAATGTACCCTGGGTGGCCTTGTTATTTTTAGATTGTGCCTGAGTCTAGTGGAATTCTGGAGCTCAAGGGGTTACCAAACTCATCCATAGATCTGAATGCTTTGATATTAATTGAAATGATCAATTAGATAAAATTAAATTAGTCTCTCCTGAAAACATTTTTGGACAGTGATTTTATATTTCTTTACATAATCCTAAGCAAGTATACATTTCAAAGAAATGCTGTTCTTTTGAACTGTCTATTCTAAGAATTCTGAAAAAAAAACGTTTTAAGCTTTCCACAAAAATATTAAGCAGCACAACGGTTTTCAACATTGATAGTAATAAGTATTGTTTTATTGAGCACCAAATTAGTTTATTAGAATGATTTCTGAAGGATCATGTGACACTGAACACTGGAGCTGAAAATTCTGCTTTTTTATCACAAGAATAAATTACACTTTCATTTATTTAATTATTTTTAGGTATAGAAAAGAGTTATTGTAAATTGTATTATTTAACAATATTATTGTTTTGACTGTTTTTTTGATCAACTACATGCAGCCTTGGCGAGCATAAGAAACTTCTTTCAAAAACATTTTTAAAAAATCATACCGACTTTAAACATTTGAATGATAGTGTATATACATGTATTTTTGCGTTAAAATTGATTGCATATTGATAATGTGTTTTCTCTTGTGATCTGTAATAGCAGTTGTTTTTAATATGTTAATGAAATTAACATTGTAATGCTGAACTGTGTGGGTTGAGTCCAGGGCAGTGAACGGCCTTATATCTACAGCAGATGAGTAGGGTTGTGTTGAGTCAGCAATAGATACTGTCTATGTATGAAACATGGACAGAGACAGGAAGTCTGGAGTCGGTCTCACATTTCCTGGGAAAAGAAAAAGCAGCCTGGGCACCCACAGACACAGGCCCTGCTGTGACTATAACATGACAGTGTAAGTGTTCTAGACAAGTACTTGTGTTGGTCAAAGACCTAAAACTAAAGTATATTTAGCAAAGATATGACTGAAAGTGTATCAGAAGTACATGAGGTGAATTTAAATGTATTCTATATAGTAACTGATGGTGCCTTGCAGCGTTTCCTGTACTTTTCCACTGCTAAATCTACCATATTTTACCCTAGATATTAGTACTGCAAAATAAAAACAAAGACAGCATGTCATTCAATTTTGTTATCTTTGTGGCTGCATGCACAAATCAACACACAGCACAACCATTGTAGCTTTATGAGGTCAGAAAGACTCACTGGAGTCAGCTGGAAAAATAATTCTGTTGGAAACACTGGTCCATCCATTGCTTTGCTTGTAAGTTTTACAATGTTGTTTCATATTCCTGCATTACAACTGATGTGACAATCACATGAGGGCATATCTGGCCTATTGTAAGAGATATTTAACTGGAAATCGGGTGAATGAAGCAAGAAGCTACTTCAAGGGGCAAGTTCTAGCCTAAAGCCTTACTTGGATGTCTATGAAACCTGGCAGTGTCTACAAGGGGTCACCCACTCAGAAACGGGGAACCAAACCCTGTCAGGTAGATTATTTATGGTGCATCACAGAGACTGTTTTACCACTGCTGCTATTCACGGAACCACATTGATCTTTAGAAAGCAGGAAGCAAGTGGTGATGATTGGACATTAACTCATGTAGCCAAATATCAGTGTCACTGTATGGCGTTTGACCTACATATCGCCCAGCAACCCTTTGAGACATTAGACAGATGTCAAAATACAGCCTCACTAGTATGGATGATGATTTTATAGTGTCATATAAGGATAAATGTTTCTTTTTTTATTCTCCAGAGGCAGGATGGAAGAAGCAGAACTCTTAAAGCAACGCCTTCAGGCTATTACGGTAACCATATGGGATTGTCTATACTTATTTCAAGGCTCTGGAATACTTAATTCTGATTAATTAAACACTGCATTCTGTCCTTAAATATTTTTCTAGAATGATTACTGGACTGTGTTATTTTAGTATTATTTATACACTATTATAATATTTATGAATATTTTGATATTCATATTTTTTATATTTTAATTTAATGAATCTTTGTTTTAATTAACTAAAACAAATTGTATTCAGTTTGGTTAACAGTTACAACAAGTGTATTGCAACCACTTACATAGCTATGCTAGTTCAGTGTCTCTATTTAAACGTGTTCATTTTTCCACAGAATAAGAAAAAAATCCAAGAAGAAATTGTCCACAAACGGCTTGAAATTGACAGAGAGAAACTAAAGCTTCAACATGTCAAGGTACCTTCTTGATGTTAGAAGGATAGTTTCCTGTTCATCAGCATTTTTCTGAATTGTTATGGTCTGGGATTTGAAGCATCTCTATATGTCTTTCATAGAAAAGGTCCATGAGAGATCTGTGGCTCATGGATGGGATGAACAGCAGTAATGCACAGGAAACACAAAAAGCTCTTGAAGATGCACAACAAACTAAACACCTCAAGAGCAACATACATCGGTAAGATGAAAGAATAAAGTTAAATTTATTGTAGGGGTTCATTACTGTATCATTATTTACACCATATTTAAGCCAGTAACTGATCTAAACCATTTTGCTATGTGCACTGACATCTGAATACAAATAATTTTCAGTCTGAACACTGTATTAAGAGTTCAATCTCTTAAAAGCCTTTTTAACTCTGAGAACTTCAGGGCTGGTGTGATGTTTCTCAGCTAATATCATTTGCCCTGTGGTGCCGTAATGAAATCTATTAGAGTGAAGTATGAGGCAAGAGGTGTGCAATGCTTTGTAACTGCATTGCATTGTAGTAGCAATGATGCTAAAAAAAAAAGGATGCTAAAAAAAGCTGCTACCATGTCCTTGAATGTCTGCTACATGCAGGTCGCACCCTAGCGCAAATATTGCTATTGGTTTCATTCTTAAATGATTCAGACTAATGACGATTCTGACTGACCATGAGAGAGCAAATTCAAATGTCTGCTATTAAATATTTGTTTATATTGCATTCATAAGCAGTTAACATCGCATTGCTGGGTCTAGCATGTCTATGCAACAAAAAGTGTAAAGAGTGACAGGTGCTTTGTCAGGGATGGCACTATTGTGTGACTTGACCCAGTAATAGAGGTCAATCTGTGTGTGTGTGTGTGTGTGTGTGTGTGTGTGTGCGCACGTTTTTGTGACAAATGAGGACATACATTTGTATAATGACAAAGGTATGACATAGGTATTACAAGGAGAAGGTAACTTTTCAGGACATTACCCCATGTCCCCACTTTTCAAAACGCTTATAAATCACACAGATTGGAGTGTATTGAAAATCTGAAATCTGAAAATCACAAAGTTTCCTGTAAGGGGTAGGTTTAGGGGTAGGGTTGGTGTAGGGCAATAGAATATACAGTCTGTACAGTATAAAAATCATTACGCCTATGGGATGTCCCCACTTTTCACAAAAACAAACCTGTGTGTGTGTGTGTGTGTGTGTGTGTGTGTATGCCAGGAGAACTCTAGAGAACTGCATATTTAGAATGTCTTATTTAAACAAGTATTGTAACAAATTCTCTGTAGGATAGAGAAAGAGATTGAAGCATTGGAGAGAGAGGAAATTAACATCTCAACAAATGAGGGGCTGATTCTAAAGAGGCTAAAAGCCATTGAAAAGACTCCAGAGGATATAATTAAGGTACACTGCTTTTGACGTAGTTAAGAAATTAAAATGATCAGAAACTGTGCTTTTTGCTTGAACTATATAGACTTTATATTAGGACATGACTCTGTTTGTATCTCCACAGGCAGCGAATGCAGATTTCATTTCAGGTAAATACTGTAAAACTCCATCCCAATGCTGTACGGACCATAAAACAAATTGCCAGCATATTTTTGTGTTAAATTTTGCCATATTTATGATTATTTTCACTATTTTTGCAGAGCTGATCTATATTCATTCAACAATTCCAAATATGCTAAAGCCCAGCACACCCCTATTAAAGCAGAGGAAGAAACAAGACTTGGAAACTGAAGCAAAAACTGACCAAACCAAATCTGGTAAACTGAAAGAAGACTTCAAACTGTTTTCAATATACAGTATTTCTGCAATGTAGCAAAATAAATGTTTTAGATAGGGTTTTCCAAACTGGGTTAACAAATGCCTGGTAAACCCCAGGGGGTTCATGAGTTGCTTACTTGAAGCTAATTAAAAAAGTGAATTAAATTCTAAAAATGTAAAATTACAATAATTTTAAAAAGAAAATTTAAATGAATCTTACTGAACCAAAATCAAACATTTTATTTGTTTACCCTCTTTTCCTGTGACCATTAACCAAAAGCATATAATTGTGAACATGCAATATGGTGTTAAATTGAAACATTATTTGAGTGTATTTTAAGTAAATATTTTAGATCAAAGGAGTTTGGATGACAAAACAAGTTTGGAAATCCCTGTTTAAATATTGTGCAAATATGAAGTGTGTCATTTCTGTGCCACTATCAATCAAAAAAATAATAATTGTTAAAAAATTGTCAAACAGGTTTTCTTTACAGTCCCACTGCCATCAGTTGGTCAAAAAGATAGTCCTGCCTCCAAACTCGCCCCATTGGCTGAGCTAATGTTTTAATGTTGTGATGGCACTATAGCCACACTTTATGAACATGGACACACAAATGTCTTATTTACTGTTAATTTTGCATATTGAACTTGGATACAAGAAAGAATTCAACGTTTTAAATAATTCCAATATATTGCGCACATTCCATTTGTCTCTTACAGCTTTGTTCGCCATGGAAATTAACGTTCAGAAGGACTTGCGCACAGGGGAAAGCCAAGTTCTCTCCACCTCCACCATTTCTCCCCAAGAGCTCCAGCAGAAAGGCATCAAAGTCTACGACGATGGCCGGAAGTCCGTCTACGCCCTGCGTACAGACGGCCACCAGCCAGGTGCGAATGGAGTGGATGAACTTAGTTCCGTGGAGGTCGAAGAGCTGCTGAGGCAGGCCTCTGAGAAAAAGAAGAGGTCCAATCAGGTTCAGATAGACCCTTCATATCCCCACAACCTCTCCCATGAGTTACAATTAGCCACTGAAATCAGGGAGAGCCATGTATCCAATGAATACCAAGATCCCTATAGTGTTGACTTATCGGCATGGCCTAAGCTTGTGTACAATGATGGCGTGTGCTGTCCAGAGGACGCGGGTCAAGTACTTCCTCTCCTGCCAATGTCTAATTACAATGACAGACCAGACGAATACTATCACAACAGCCGTGAGCTACACAGAGGGGAAAGACACGCACATGGACAGTATTACAACCAAAGAGAGAACCACCGGGGAATGCGACGTTTGGATTGTGACATCTCAAAACACAGCCTGTGTTCAGCCTTCTCTGAGGACTCCAAACTCAGTGTACTGAACGCCATGCCATCGGACGAGCCAGTCACCATGATCTTCATGGGTTACCAGAATGCCGGAGATGACAGCCAGAGCTATGAGGGCTCAGTTCGGGCAGAGTTGGTGATTATTGGAGATGGTGAAGATGAAGCGAGCAAGAGCTTCAACCCCCATCAGAACTGCATTGCCAACAACGCCTTTCCCTACTCTGCTGGACGGAAGGGCAAAAGAGACGGCACGGAAGACCCGTCAGCTACAGGTACTCCAAAGATCAAAAAGGTCAAAAGGAGACACAAGCACTGCTGTGTGTTGATGTAGTTTCACTAACACTCTATCAGCTCTTCTATGATGCAGCTTCTCACCAGACTGGCTTCTCTCGCTCTGCATGCTGAACACTGCTGTCTTACATTGTGGTTTTCAGTTTTTCAGTGTCTTAAACTGCTTGCTCTCTTTCATGTTGGCATTTGCTTATGTTTTCTGACTACGTGTGTAGAAAGACATTGTTGTATATGTGTAGCTTTAGAGCAGGGGTCTTCAAATGGCGGTACTGCAATTATCATTTCATCTCAATTCAATTTTTGTGGAAATGTTGGGAAAAAAACAGTATTAAGTTAACTAAAAAAATGGTAAGTTCATCTAATACACTACTCTTCAAAAGTTTTGGGTCGCTAAGAGTTTTTTTTTTTTTAATCTCTTGCTCACCAAGGCTGCATTTACTTGATCAAAACCCCAGTAAAAACTGTAATATTGTAAAATATTGTTACATTATAACAATTTAAAATAAATATTTCCTGTTTTAATATATTATAAAATGTAACTTATTTCTGTGACGGCAAAGCTGAATTTTCAGCAGCCATTACTCCAGTCATATGATCATTCAGAAATCATTCTAATATGCCGATATGGTGCTAAAGACAAATTTCTTATCAGTTTTGAAGATTGTTGTGCTGCTTATTATTTTGTGGAAATAGTGATACATCTTATTCAGAAATATTTGGCGAACAAAGTAAAAAAAAACATAATTTATTTGAAATAGAAATCTTTTGTAAACAAAGACTGTCATTTCTGATCAAGTAAATGCGTGCTTGCTAAATAAAAAATAAAAAAAGAATTATTTGAATCCAGACTTTTTATCTTTTTATTAAGATGTATATTATTCTAAATTTTTATTTCACTTAATACAGGTATGTGCTCAGTACTGATTTTGAATGAATATGCAATTGAATGAATGTAAGCATCATAGGTATGTAAATGCATTATGTAGGGCTTATATACATGTTATTAATATCCATTCTTAGAATGCATCTCTTAAATGTGACATAAAAATGTGTCTATTATCCACCAAGGGATCCTTGAAAAAGGTTGAAGACCCCTGATTTAGAGCTTTACCTCCCTTTAGTGGTGAAGGGATGGAAATTCACATCTCTTTCTAAAGAATACATGCAATATGCAACCACTCTCATTATTCACCTGCCAAACTTTCTATGCTACTACTTTTTGCATATGTTAACTGTGCTTTTGCCACTTGCAATAATTAGCATGACGGCATGCAATTTGCTGTGACATGTACAGCCGTGCTTGCTGTCATGGATTGTGCTTCTTTTTGTCAAGCATCCTCTTTCTTTTGCTTTGACTTTGTGTATATGAGTGTTTTGTGAAAAGCATGACAGATGAACCTTTGTAATAAAACTGACTGAATGAATGAAAACTTTCTTCATTTTTAAAGGGATAGTTCACCCAAAAATATGTATTAATAGGTGTTATTTTTGTATTTATATACATGTCTTTTTTCCCATTGAAATTAATTTTTAGTCATTAAATGTGCTTCTGTCTTTTTTATATTTAGCTTTAATTGATTTAACTTTTAGTCATTTTAGCATAGCATTTCAACTTATTCATCTTATGTTTTTTCAGTTGCCAAGGTAAGTGTGAATTTGTTGTCTCTATTAATTGTTGTTATATTGTAAGAGCCGCATTATGGTTTTTTGAAAAATTATTTTGTGTTCCACAGGAAATGTATACAGCACACAGATTTTGAAAGTCATGAGTAAATGACAGAATATAAATTTTTTGAGTGATCTATTACTTTAATGCTGAAAAACAGACTTATTACAATGTCACCACCCACACAAATGTTGCATGAAAACATAAGTGACTCACAGCTTTTGACACCAAACTAACTTAAAGCCATTATGACAATATTTTGCTGCTATAGACTTGATATGAATTATGTCATTTAACAGTATGCTTTATCTAAAGAATGGGGGACACACTCCCACACATGACCCCCTCTGTGTCATCTCTTCATTGTAGGTTACACAATCAAGCCCTGTCAATCTTTTTCAGAAGCTCACACACGCACACAGACTCCAGTGGTGGGCAGATAATTTGCTGCGCATGTCTTCCAACCTTAAGAGGCTTTTAAGAAGGCTGGGTCATGTGTTGAAACACTCTTATATAATCAATCTTGGGGATTATATAAATGAGGATAGCTTGTTTCTAAGGACAAATGTCTTTATAGCTAGAGTTTATTCAAATGATCATTTTATTTAAACCGCACAAAAAGATTAATCGTTGAGGAAGTGTAATGCTTCTGAGGGCTATCAGTGAAAAGCTACTGGTGCTGGATCTGGTGTGTATCCGCATGTCCATGCTGTCCATAATCTTCTGTTTGGAATTGAGCAGCTAAATCAATGTCTTTTCTCTCATGCTCCCTACAGCATTACAGATACAGATGGAGAAACTGGGCCAAACCGCATAACACGCACTCACAGTGTGGCACTCACACTCTGGGAACTCTGAGACTCTTGCACGAATTGTCCAAAGCGGCCAGCGAAACGAGGAACGTGAATCAACATTTTGGCGGAGTCTTTTGAAATTAAAATGAGGATGTGCTATTAACACTTTTCAAGAAATTATTTCACAAAAATAAGTGCTGAATTTGAACTCTAATTGTTTTATGCTGCTGCCAATAAACTCAATAGCTGTCATTTTGAAGGCTGCGTCTTATAGAGGTTGCATCCGTCTGCCACATACATCATTCAAGATGTCTCATTTAAGAAAATTAACCATTATAAAATTGACTGTTATTCCTTTTGAGGCATAAATTACTATAATTTATTTCATACTCTGCAATGTAATGGTTACTTTTCCTAAATGAGATGGCCTAAATGACGTATTCAGCCGACAAATGTGACATCAGCAGCTTTTGAATTGAGCGACAGCAAATATTATGAAAGCTATACATGAGAGCTATAAGACTGAACCTTCAAAAAGGAAAATATTGCTGTCAAATGTCAAAATACTGTATGAGGCATCCTTTCAGATGTGTTCTCCTTGTAGAGGAAAACCCAGAATGACGATCAAACCTCATGACGTGTGTCTGTATATGTGGCTGACAGCTGTTTGAGACATCTCTATTACCTGTGCTAATGAATGAATCTTTTGAGTCTTTTGTTTTTATATATTTTTTTTTTTTTCAGATGTCTATGTCAAGGTCATCTTTGTGAGTCCTTATTCGAAAACATTATTATTATTAGATAAAATAGTAAGTAGTGCCTTTATTAAAACAACTAACAAATTAAAGAGATATTTCACCCAAAATGAAATTGATCACTTTTTCAGCCTCATTTTTTAAACTCGTATGATTTTCTCTCTTCTGTGGAACACAAAATTAGAATTTTTTAGCTTATATTCTTAATTTGTATTCGATTTGATTTATTTTTATTTGTTTAATTACATTTTCAACATTAAATATTTGACATTTCTGATACTTTTAATAAGATATTTTGAAACTCTTCTTTGTCATTCAGTGAAAGTAGATTGGGACCAGGGATAGTTGTTGTAACCATTCATTCTCATTATATGGAAAAGAGCAGCTTGTACAATCTGCTAAATATCTACTTTTGTGTTTCACAGAAAAAAAAAAAGGGGGTTTGGTGACAACATAATGGTGAGTAAATGATGATGGAATCTACACTTTTTGGGTGAACTTTCCCTTTTACAGTAACAGAAATATTGGACTTTTTTGATGAATAAACACCCTATAATGTTGTTTTTTGGTCTCTCTAGATTTGCAAAACTGATTGTAGAGCGATGTGGAAAAAAAGTAATAATAAAATAAATCAGATTAAAGCTGATCCTTTAATACACTGAGCTTCTGTATTTGATTCTGTGTACTGGTGACTTACAGCAAACTGTCTGATAACAGACGTCTGGTGTGAGCTTTTTTTCAGAGCATTGAGGATTTTGTGCAAATATATTTTTAGGTATATTCTCCTTAGGTATATGGGTCTATGTATGTGAGAGCTGGAGCTTGTCATGTCAGTGGAGTAACTGTGCTGCCATTGGTCGATTCCCACGCATTCAATCACAGCTGTGGCTTGTGTCACACACATTCACACACACTAACACACATACATGCACACAGAGGAAGAAACGAGACCTTCACTGTTAAACCAGCTGACCTCAAAGCTCCATCACTGACAGTAAGTATCCAAATTCCAAACTTTTCTATTGATGCCTATGGAATATGTGACACATCTGTCCGTCTCTGGACGGAGAGATGAGTCATCGTACACCTGCTTCTGGTGAAAAACATTTTTATGCATCTTTAAGAGCGTTTAAAAAGGGGTCAGATATACACTTAAGAGTTTTAGCAAATTTGTGCATTGTGGTGGGAAGGTCTTAAGGAGAAAAGACAGGGAGGAGAGAAAGACAATGCCTTTTTTGGTGTTATATTTTCAATTTGTTGGATTGTATTCATGCTGCTTTTCTGTCAAGCGTGTGGGATGGTAGCTACAAAAACACAGAAGACGAGAGGGAAAACATGCAGAGCCTGAGCCAGTAACACAGGCAGCAAACAGACAGAATATCCTTCACCAAACTTACTGACGTTATTTTTACCATGTTGTTCGTCAAGCAGATTGGAATTGCATATTCTGGAATAAAGCTTTGCCTCATTCCCTGGAACATCCAACAATGATTTCAATTTATTTACAAGATAATGGAAATTTACATTTGTCAATTTAAAATCATATCACCCAAGATGGGTGCTAATAATAAGCAAACATGGTCTAAGGTCCAGGATAAGTTTGCACTAAAGGATTTTATGCACTGTCAAAAAAAAACTCTAACCTTTAACCCTTGCTAATCTTGGAATAATGTTTTTAAAAGACATGGATATGAAGTTAGAATGTGGAATTACACAATAAATAAGAGTTTACATCTCAGCTGACATCACTGCAATAGAACAGATGTGGCAGGTGAGTAATACAGATTTCTGGGTTATTCCTGGAAAGCATAATGATATGAGGATTGGTTTGGCTTAGTCTAGTCCTTGTCATTATTAATGGAGGATAAGTTTGGTCCACAGAGATGGGTATTTAAAAAATCAATTAATCAATCAACATACCACAGCATCATATCTAACTTTATTATTCCAAAACCAAATGTAAGAGATTTGCCTATGCCATGCAGCACAGAGGATTCAGAGTTGAAAAAAAAGCATCAGAGGATTTTAAGTACAGAAGCGGATTTCTCCAGACAGATTTTTTCTTTTATTTTCTGGAAAAGCACATGCATATTCACACGTTATTTACATTTTTAAATTAGGATACGGATTAATAGATTCAGCTGGTCATAATCACAAAATTAACCTGTGCAGCAAGCTCTGTCTTGTATCAAAAAGTCATAAAGTGTTTATTTTAATAAATATAGCCTATAAATATTATACAACCGATTGCTCATAGTTTCATTAGGTTTCGTTAGGTAAATAAAAATATAAATTCATATTATTATAGTAATAAATGTAAACGGAAATGTGTTTCGTTCTACACATACACGCATATAAACATGGGAGAATAATGTTGCACAGCGAGAGTGACCTTGGTCAGAATTATGGACTGTAGTAGCCTATGTTCAAAATCGCGTAGGCAAAGCCAAGCGTTCAATAGCTGGTTGAGAAAGCGTGGGCACCCAGAGGTACAGAGCGGATCTGTAGCTCAGTGCAACCAGTGCTCGCGGGGCGCAGACATTCAGTTTGCGGCCGCTTCTGTCAATATCTGTTCTATCTGCTCTATTTCACTTTTGACAATCGCTGACGGATCGATAGGCCTGAACAGGAGTTCGTCGCGAGCTTGATTTTCCTTCTTCGAGTTCAACCATATGAATTACTCCCGACGCGTCGCCATTTGGTTACTGTCGTTATCTGTACAAAGTATACATGCATGTGCGTATTGCGGTAGATTGGAGATGATATCCGTTTGGCTCCTGTTTTTAAAGCTGCTGGTAGGTATGAAAATACTGACGCTTTGCGCATCTGTTGCATCTGTATCTGCTTTGGCGAACATCTGCATGCGCAAGGCACGAAGAGGGAATGATGCAGGAATTCAGTGTGCTGCATTGGTATTGTCATGCTTGGCCGAGTGTCCAGTGTATTTCAAAAGAGTTGAGATGCTGCGTTGTCCCCATCCGACATTTCGAGATTAATTGGTAATACATTCCATATCTGCTTGCAGTGTTAGTGCTGCAGTGATACAGAATATACACACTCCGATTTTTCACAAATCAAATTCACTTCAGTAGGCTATCTACCATTTACAAGAGAGAACTTTGACTGTGAAAAAGAAAAGGAGATGCTAGGCAGAATGACATTAGTCACCATTCACTTTCATTGAATGGAAACGAGTTGCATGAATGGAAAGTAAATGGTGACTGAGGCTGTTAGTTCATAATCCCTTGTCCCTACATCTTAATTTTTTGGGTGAACTATTCCTAACAGTCACAGTCGCACTTATTGGGTAATAGTTGATGACATTATTTTGTGCTCTGCAGAATTCTACCTCTGGAAAAGTGGATGTAATGTTCAGACATCAGAAATGTATTTTCCAAAACAGGCAGAATGAGTCTGGGGTTAATGGTGGTCACAGCACCAGCAGGCATGCATAAAAGAACATCCCATCTGCTCGATATGAGCAATAGATTTGTTTCTCTCTCTCTCTCTCACTGGATAAACTCAGGCTGATAACCATAATAAACCTACGGCATGGCACTTTGAATAGGTTGGCTCTGACTAGTAAGCTGCTTCTACATGGCTCATAAACAGGACAGCCTCCTCAGATCTAGCACGTTGCCAAGCAACCACTACTTTTCAGGGAAAAAAACACAAAACAGACTCTCTGAAATCATACTGTATCTTGCCAATAAATTATGACTATGACAGTATCATATGAAATGGCATTATAATCATCCACATACTGCAGAGAAGGGGATGGCAAACTGCTAATTGATAAATGAGGAAACAGGAATTTAAAACTATTTTAGGTAGTTCTTGTAACAGTGCAGTCATCTAATTAGATTTTGGATTGATAGTACTTTCAAGAATGAAGTGTATTTCCTCAGAAGTGCTTCCCTTCACTTTATTTAAGCTTAGAAAGTTGTGATTGCAACTTGCCATAGACTTTTTTGATGTATTTTAGAGCAGGGTTTTAAGAATGTTTCTAGAGCACTGCACATTTTGGATGCCTCCCTTTTTAAACCCAGTTGAAATAACTCATCAGCTCATTTCATAGCTTTTATTTAAAATGACCTAAATTAAGGGTAAAATTAAAATAGAATTGTGTGTTTTCATTAGAAGTCTCATATTTTGTGGCTTACTTCTATGAAGGCTACTAAAACATCCTTTAAATGTTGATTGGTGGCTTTTTCAGCCCACTTTGAGATTGCATGCTCTGTTAGAAACCACTTCTCATGGTTATTTGCTATCAAAGAGGTCCACCCACATATACCTCACAGCATGAATACAAGAAGAGCTTGATCAAACTAAAAAAGTGACGCTGTGCAATTCTGCTATAGAAACAGCACAAGACTGGTTCTTCTAGCTTAATGTTGTTATATTAATTGCATCCAGAACTTTTCAAGGAGCAAGACTAGGCGAAAAAAAATTTGTGTTTGACATGTTTAATGATCTCAGAATTCCCAAGCTTGGTGTTCCTTTAATTCTAAACAGATCTTTTCAATGTAACTTCCATAGAGAGTCACAGCTGGTGCACGAAGGTCATATGGAAGTGAACTAAATGAAGGCAAAAGCACCTCTGTAAATCAGCAGAAAAAAGAGCAGGAATACCTCTCTGAAGCAGTCACCATGGAGACCAACCAGCTTTCAGAAATGGCTGATCTAACAGACTGTAAAATGAATCCTGGGTGTACAGAGGACCAGACATGTCAATTCACTGAGGAGGTGAATGAATGTTTTGTCACATATTTCCCAGAGTGCCTGGATACCAAACAGAGCAACCCCCATGAAGATCTGGATGGGCAAAGAAACAAAGCCATAATTAATGAATGTGATAGCTCAGGTGAATCTGATGGAAGCAAAGACTCTCAAGAAGGCATTACGGTCAAGGTCAATGAACAAGATGAACCAGATGGCAGAGAATCTTTGGCCTTTGAGTCTCACGAAGAGCCTCTTGTGAATGACAAACCAGAAGAAGAAATGGAAATCAACAATTTCGATGATACCCAAGAGAAAGAACATGATGAACCTGAGGAGAGGCTGGAAGCACAAGAAGAATCTGTGCTGGAGCAGCAAATCAATGAGTTGGTGATTTCTGAAGTCCCGACTGAATCTTGTCCAGATATGGATCGAGATGACCTAAGTGACTGTCTGCTAGTGGAGATGGCCAACATTTCGTCAGACAGTGATGCTGAAGAGCCGTGGAGGTCTTTAGCTCCATCAGCTGTAGATAAAGAAGAGATTGAGGAGAACGGTGATCTCTTGGGTATGGATGAAGCAGAGGTAAACTCGGAAGACCAAGCAAGGCAGGAAGACATTGAAGTGACTGAGAGCAATGCTGAACTTGAAGATGAAGCTCTGGCTTTGAACATTAATGAAAGTGAGATTCTAGAACAACCAGAGTGTCCCACTGAATGTGAGCTGCGAGATATTTCTTTGGACTCCTCGGCCCATTACTGCAGTTTAACCAAGATTGCAGAGGATGAGGAAGAGCTTGGTAAAACTTCAAAGCACAACCTTCAGCGCCTGTCCTGTTCAACTTCAGAGCTCGACAAAAAGTTGCCAAAAGACTTCTGCGTGGTTCAGGAAATAAAGAGCGAGAATGTCAGCACAGAGCATCTGGATTTTAGGGTGGCTCGCAAGCAGTGGCAGAAGATGGAAGAGCAAACAAAAGGTCTGGTGCACCGGCCAGCGATGAGGCAGGCATCTTGCCAGGGTGGACACAACTTCATGTACACGCCTGTCCGCAACATTGATCGCCCCAGAAGAGACCCTGACATAGAGAGTCTTGGTCTGGGTGATTACCAGTACACTCAATTCAGCCCCTGTTCGGAAGACTCTGGTCTAGATGACACAAGCTATAGGTCTCCTTATGATGAGCCAGAAACTCCAGTGGAGAGGGAGATTCGTGACGCTCTCGAACGAGAGGAGATGTTCAGACGAGAGAGGACAATGGCAAAGATGTCTGCTGGCGACACTATGCAAATTAAACCCAAGCCTGGCGTTCTTCACCACAGCAGATCAGAACCTGGGGAGAAAAGACAGATGTTTGACACACCGGAGGACAGATGCATTTCTCAGAGATCTCCTAGTGCAAGAACTCCAACTTTGTCCATCACAGCTTCATCTGAAAGAAGTCCCACATACCATGAAATGACCGCCAACAATGTCATAATACTTGAGCCGGATTCGTACACCACCAGCCCACGGAGCCAAAGAAAAGGTGGGATGCTTTCTCCAGGGACGAGCAGTTTCCAAGTATGGCCATCCGACATGAATAATGTAATTATCCTGGAGACATCGAATCTCATCATCCGAAGTGCCTCGGAATTCTGCCTGAGCACTGTATGTCAAGAGACACAAGAGAGCACCTTTCAGAACAATCCCTTTTTCAAACTGCGCTCCCACAGCACCCAGTCTCTGGTGGATCAGGAGATCAAGTTGGTGAGGCAAAGAGAAGAGGAGCTTAGAAGGCAGAGAGCACAACTATATGTAAAGGAGAGATATGACACCGTCCTCGTGTCCCCCTGCCAACTGCAGAATTTCACTTATGAGAAACCAGGTACCACGTTTAGCAACCATTAGCGTATTTACTTCATTGATGTCATTACATAACGATGTAGTTCAGTAAATGTTCTTTCTCTTATTTGGACACTTTACAGGAGAGGTGCCAGCAAAATCTAAGTCATCCCCCTCATCTCCATCAAAGACGCGCAAAATGGATCGCTCCACTTTGTCCTGCGACCACAAGGTACATTATATTTAGGCATGCTATGATTCAAAGTTGCAGATTTTTGAACTGTACATATTTTTCTGTTTGTCCTCTCATGTATCATATATAACTGTCATGAATTCCATTGAGGTGTATTTTTATGTTTTTCATTTACATGTCTTTGACATCTCATTGATCTGTGCCCATTTCACCTTGAAACTGGAAACTGCATGCAGTTTTACAGGTGAAGCTTTCTCCTTTAGTTCTCTGAGGCACCTTACCCTCGAGTCAGACGGAAAAGTGCCCTGGCCCAGAGGTGGGAAGCAGGTATCTTTGCCAATCATCAGCAACAAGACTGAGTGATTTGCCTAAACGAAGCATCAAGCACAAATCAAGGTTCCATTACCGTATAAGCATGTGCAAATAGTTTTAGAGTAAAACATTCATTACTAGTACAAACCTGGAAGTTAATAGGTGAGTAAAAATATTAACAACTGATCTCATACCTTTTTACATCTTTTGGATGTTAGTATTTTCACTCTGAATTTTATCCTGGATATACTTTTATATGATTGCAGTTAAAGAATTTATACCGTAATGTATTCCTAAATTGCACTATGTACAACAATTACTTTATTATTTTTATTCTAATTTATTATTCTAATTTCACATTACATAACATGTTATATTAACCATACAGTGGAGAGCAGAAGCAAATAAAAATGCATTTATCTTTGATTTAATCTGATCAAAAGTGCAATTTAAGACAAGGAAGACCGCTGCTTGGAATGTCTAATAGAGTACATTGTGGATGTAGCTATTGTGGATGTAGCTTGCAGAGGTGTTACAAGAAAAGTAGCTGGCTTCTGTACAATAACTACATTGTGAGCCTTTTAAGTATTTTTTAGCTTTGTCTGGATATAATGTGCATTTATTCTTCTGTGAAAATAATTTTAAATATGTGTGAATTTTACTTCATAATATTCATGTTTGAAATGTTTTAATAGACATGTTTCTTCCTTGCAGGATGTTTTCAATGCAAAATACTGTTCAAACCTTGAATAAAGTGAAACTGATAATGACTTGTCTTGCTCTATGAATAATTAGGTCTTCATTCCAATTCCTGTACTGCCATATGATTCATTATACATCCCCTATGGAGGCGAGCAGTGAGATACAGAATGCTGAGTTTCCGAGCACAAAAACAGCAAGGATAACCACTCTAAACTTAGTATCCTGTGGAAGCAGAAACAAGAGCATTTGGTTAAGATGCTTATGTACATGCTTCTTTTTGAGCCTTATGGTAGGCCTTGATGGTGAGTTGTTGTGCATATTACAATACCTGATTTATTTTATGATTAATCTAATTAATATATGACTTATATATATATATATAAGAAGATGTAGGTTAGTTTATTTCTTTGTTGGAAGAAATTTAGAGAAATTTAGCATTGCATCACTTGCTTACCAGTGGATCCTCTGCAGTGAATGGGTGCCGTAAGAATGAGAGTTCAAACAGCTGATAAAAACACCACAATAACCTACAGGTAATCCACACAACTCCAGTCCAGCAATTAATGTCTTGTGAACTGAAAACTGTGTGTTTGTAAGAAACAAATTGATCAATAAGATGTTTTTTAAACATCAAACTGTTGCTTTCAGATAAAATACGAGTCCTCTATCCATAATATTACTTTTTCCAGTGAAAAAGTTGCCTTGTCTCAATCAGGAGAGAAATATGTGAACAAGTGAAAACAGTCCAAAACAGTTCTAAACAAATACATTGGTGGATTTTGATGTGAGGGGACAACAGGGGATGGACTTTTACACTGGAAGAAGTGTTGGAGTTAATATGGACTTGTATTTTTGGTCAGAAGCGACAGTTTAAAGTTAAATTGCTTCAATGATGGATTTCTTTCTTACAAACTCTCAGCTCCGCAAGATGTTAATTGATGGACTGGAATCATGTGGTTTACTTGTGGATTATTGTGGTGTTTTTATCAGCAGTTTGGACTCTCATTCTGACGGCACCCATTCACTGCAGAGGATCCATTGGTGAGCAAGTGATGTAATTCTAAACTTCTCCAAATCTGTTCAGATGAAGAAACAAACTCATCATATACTTCTTGGTTGGCTTGAGGTCAATTTTAGCCAACTTTTCATTTTCGGGTGGACATTCCTTTAATGTTTTCATCTTCTCCTTTATGTTTGAGTAAAGTTTAAACTTACCCAGTTTGCATCCCCTAAATTGTCTGAGAGAACTGGAAGTTCATCCTCATGTGCGCTCCCTGATGAAGCAAGAGACATTGCTAAACAACATATTTTGCTTCATTTCACTCTCAGTTTGAATCATCTTGCAATATGTCTGAACCACAGGCAGAGGGAACGTTACTCAACATGCACTGTGTACTTCCAGCTGAATCAGATGGGAACTTGTCACTTATGAATGAAAAACTTTTAAACAAATACAATTTAAATACAGTTAAATGAGTCTTTCAAACGTATTAAATGTGAAATAGTTACATATACAAACCTTTTCTAATAGCACCATTCTTATGAAGTTTTAACACTAGCTTTAACACAATGGTCCAAACCACAAAAGCAGAGAGAACCCCTGTGGTCCACGGGTAAGGCAGCAAAAGAGACTGTTGCTTTATTCCAAAAAACATGAAAACATAATAATAAAATAATAATATTTTTTTAAATATTTATTAAAAAAGGTTTTGAATGTGATATTACTGCTAGAAATTGATTTGAGATAAACCTTCTAAACAGCAAAATTACAAAGAGCAAATTCACCGGCAATAATTTCAGCAGCATTTCCAACACCCCAGTGTGACGAATTGAATATCCATCGCCTGAGAAAAAGAAATGATTGTCTTGTGTTGTGTTATGTTATGTCATTAAGTTATTCAGTTTCGGATATGGTAGCAGAAGAGGATAAAACTACCAAGTTGCAAATTCAAGTTAATTGAGGAGTCATTTCTGTGAGGAATCTGGAGCTGGTCTGAATGCAGCTATTATTGGCTGACAGAAGGCGAGAATCATAACCATGCAGCCAAGGTATGGATGAGCACCAGCTCTCTGCACAGAACCAGTGTCATTACAGTACTGTTATCTAAAACTACATCTATTACAAAACTATTTTTGCTCATTGAAATAAAGAATCAATTATACAAAAATTAAAAACGTTGCCTTGGCAAGTAACTTAAGTTTAAGTACTAAAATGACTAAAACTAAAACGTAAATAAAAATATACTAAAGCTATTGTAACAAAAATACATAAATAAATAAAAGTGAGAATACCACATAACAAAATTACTCAAATTAAAATGGAAAAAAGTCAAATCAAAATTTAACAAAAATTAAGAAAACTGAAAAATGTTAAATACAAATATTGAATGAATAAATAAATACTAAAACAGTATATAAATAATACTAAAATAACTGCATAGAACCAATTATAAAGACATATGTGACCCTGGAGCACAAAACCAGTCTTAAGTCGCTGGGGTATGTTTGTAGCAATAGCCAAAAATACATTGTATGGGTCAAAATTATCGATTTTTCATTTAATCATTAATTAGAACATTAAGTAAAGAGCATCCAGGCAATCAGCATTAGAGTTCCTGCATTTAAATTATACGTTTTATATTATATTTGGAAACTTGCAAATGACAGTATTTTCCAATTTATACCAATTATTCCATAACATGTAGTGGTTTATCAAATTACCAATTTGCCATTTAACTGATGCTTTATCCACAGCAACTACAATAACTTTTCAAGGGTACAGTTGTGGTAATTCATGGGTTGCCCATTGCAGGGTTTGAACATGAACCATTTCCATTTCCTGACCATATATTTAGCCATGCAGGGAATTCTCAGTATCCTGCAGTAAACTTAATTACAGCAGAACACATACCATGACATTTCATGAGCAGTGGAGATCGAGAAGCTGTCAGTATCTCAGGAGGGCCGGTAATGATCTGATGATGGGAAGATATCAGTGGCTGCCGTGTGTGTCTGTGGATCATACCTGCAGCACAACAAAACACAACAATAAAACTGATGAGATAACCTGACTAAAACTTAATGGCACATATCATTTCAATCATACCATTAAGGTAGCATATTTTAAAAAAAACGCACAATTGCTGTAAACCTGTGCTATCGTTCAGTACACATCACATGGTTAAAGTGTTTTAAAAAATGTATTTGTGCTGGTTTCTATGTAAAATTTTGATTCCGGCTTCAGGGAAGCTAGCTGTAACTATTTTATTCCCTGTCCAAATGACAGGAAACAAGTACTGATTGCTCAGGCCATCACAGACACTTGTTAATCAGTAAAGTCAGAAGTCCGGATCTGTGGAGAAACACGAAGCGGGAAGGCCATAAAAACAGTTGCATGGCACCCTGTATCTGATGAGACACATAATCATTTGCCAAAACTTTTTCCAAGAAGAAGAAATACAGCCCTTTTTGAAAATGCTGAAGGATGTCATGACCGGAAAGACAATTGCTAATTCATCATGCTGCAGAAGTAAAAAAATAATAATAATAAACGCTATCGTTTTACACACATAAGGCAAATCGGAATATTTAATCTATAGTAGCTTATCTATTCTGTAAAAGGTCATGAGTGTCACTTTAGTATTATTTATATACTATTATAGTATTTATTAATATTTAGGATTATTCTTTATATTTTCAGCTTTCATTTAAATTTATTCACGTTGTTATGTGCTTTTGTCATATTTATTTGTTTATTTATCTCTATTAAGTTTTTAATCTAATATTTGTATTTTATTTTAGCTGAATTTCAGTTAACAAAAGTTTTAGTTAAAAGTAACTGTTAGTCATTGATACAGTCAAAAAGCTCTCCATATTCTGCACTCCCATGTGCTACAAACAGGTAGTAACTGTTGTTAAGGCTGAATCGGACCGGATCCTGAGGGGTGTAGATAGACCTAGAGAGCTTGCACTGAATGACGCCATCAGAAACTTTCCAGCCTACATCAGTCAGCACAGACTGCAGGGGAAGTGAATCATGCTGATTACATTTACGACTGCATAAAACACGCTGGCATCTTTTTGGACTATAATGTTTTTATAGGTCTTAAAATTAAGTCGTAACATAATGCAACACTAAAAACAGTCAAAAAAAAGAATCACAACCATCAAGTGCTCTCTCATCTCGGATGATATCTCTGGATATGTCCGGCCTGTTGTGTGTGCAGCCTCAACACTTACACGGCCCTCGTCATTTATGCACAAGTACGCATCATTATCTCCCTACCAAACATCAAGATCTTCAGGGTCACATGAATATATCTAGTCAATTCATTGTGATGCACTGAACACAGCTGTAGGACTGAAAAGTACAGTATGCATTTGATCATGCTCACCATCCATTCATCCTTGGATAGAGCAAAGGAGACGTATCCCTGTGCAGGGCCACTGAGCTCAAACGAAACTGTCTGGCCCAAAGCAGAATAAGAAAGGAAAAAGCAGTTTTTGTCCACAGAAGGGTTACAGCCGACAGGGTCAATGAGACAAGACTTCAACTTGCCACATCCCACTGAGGTGAACTGTAAGAGAATTCTTACAATAAAAGGCTATGACACTTATAGGAGCAGATATGTTTATAATTAGTATTTTGGCACGTACTGGCTGAGGCAGTACAGAGGTGTTTGCAGAGTCCGTAGACATGTCGGTGGTTGATCGAGGTGGAGCACGTGTGGAGTAGTAAATGGTTTATAAATATTTTCAATATTGAAAGACAAAGTCAGAGCAGAATCGCACTCACAGAAACTGTACAGTGGGAGGAGCACTGGACTGGGCTTTAAATGACCTGAATTTCTGTCTTTTTGGCATTACTGGTGTGACTAACTGCAGAACCCTTATTTTGAGCCACATTTCTCTTAAAAAATAGTTTGTAAACAAAATAACCCATGCCAATTGTAATTTATACAACATCATGGCAATGACCACCTACAGTATCACCAAATTATATTTAGTACAACATCACTCTTGCTCGTGTGATATTAAAGTCTCTTATGCTCACCAAGACT